TATCTTTATGCTCTTTCAAAAGTGTTCTTTGGTTAATAATAATAAAACAAAAAAAGGTAGGAACAAGTGAGTTGTAAGGTCCTTTTACATTGAACTCCACATGTTCCCATTATTTTGTAAATTACCTTGCAACTCCAATCTAAAACAACCTTGTCAGGTCATTTGAGTATGTAGTAATAATGATGATTAAAAGTGTGGGTTCTGACAATAGACTGTTCAGTGTGGTTTTACCACCTATTAGCAGGTTGTTTACTTTGGGCAAGTCACTAAAAGTTTTATGAGACCTGTTTCAACTTCCTTGTATGTGAAAATGGGCTAAACATTATACTTACCTTCCACGGTTTTCATGGAAGTCCTTGGGTGGTCTAAACAGTTAACACATTCAGATGCTAACTGAAAGTTTGCAGGTTTGAGTCCACCCAGCAGCATCTGGAAAGAATATTTGGTGAATTACTTCTGAAAAATCAGCCATTGGAAATCATATGGGGCACCGTTCTATTCTGACACACAGGGGTCAGCATGAGTTGGAATTGAATCAACGGCAACTGACTGTATGTTAGTGCTTTCATGAGGTTTAAATCTATTCCTATATAAGGCTGATGGTTCAAACCCACCAGCCCCTCCTCGGAAGGAAGACTGGGCAATCTACTTCCATAGAAATACTTCCTCAGAAACCCAAGGAGGGCTGCTGTGAGTCAAATCAACTCAACAGCAATGAGGTGTTTTTTTCCTCATATGTAAAATACAAGAATATTGTCTTATAAATTGTCATATATTAATGTTTTTAGGGTACAGCAGAATCAGTTATAACTGAGAAGCTGAGCCATTTGAATTCATGACCTTTAGATATATGCCATACTGAAAAACCAAACTCACTGCCATGGAGCTGGATTCGACACATAGCTACCCCTCCTTGGGTTTCCAAGGCTGTATCACCACGGAAGGATCTTACATAAAAGTTTTTTTTTTTTTTTTTTTTATAGTGGAGAGTAGAAACTATGGCAGATCATTGGATTCCAGTTCAAATTCAGTCATTGACTCTTTTTTTTTTTTTTTTCTCTCTCTCTCTCTCAGTATTTTAACACTTATTGCCCTCTTCTGTAAAGGAAATGTTCTATGATTTTTTGCAACGTGCAAATTTCTTGAAATGTTAGTCAATCTGCCAGTGTTACATAGAAATTAGTACCATAATGGATTCTTATTTCTCAATACTCAAAATTTTGAGGTCATCAGTAAATTACAATATTCAATGTTTTGTGGGTTGAAATGATACTGACTCCAGGGCAGGTCAAAGAAGGGAAATGGTATCATGGTTTTCTAATCCAAAGGAATCATAGTGGTTTATTCTGTAATTCTGGGATGTGAAAGTCAAGACCTAGTGCTAGGTTAATTAATCAATATTTTAGGCAGAGCAATGGTAGGAAATGTTAACTTTTTGAATGGTAACCTTGTAAGAATATACTATTGCATTTGATATGTCTTATGACACCTCTGTTAGCATTGTATCTGTTACTGGCATTCTCAACATTTGTGTAGTGCTATAACTACACAAAGCGGCTCAGGCCTTCTGGGGAGGCTTTATTTTAAGGCCAGGCCCTCTCAGGCAGGTAAGGACAAGTGGGAAAGTGAGCAGAGCAGTTGGAACAATTAAGGTAGACAAACTTGTCTGTCAGTTTATCTTGTCAGTTTGTCGTCCTGTGGTGGCTTGCATGTTCTGAAAGGCTGGAGGCTATGCTACTGGTGTTGCAAAATTCCAACAGGGTTACCCATGGTGAACAGGTTTCAGCAGAACTCCCAAAGATAGACTCAGAAGAAGGAACAGGCTATCCACTTCTCAAAGAATTGGCCAGTGAAAACCTTAGAAACAGCAGTGAAACACTGTCTGATATATTACTGGAAAACTTTATGAATAGACCTGAAACATTGTCTGATATGGTACCATAATATGAACCCCTCAGGTCAGAAGGCACTCAAAATATGACTGGAGAAGAGATGACTCCTCAGAATGGATGGAGTAAAGCTTTCAGGACCTCCATTGGCTGATGTGGCACAACTCAAAGTAGAAATAGCTGCAAACATCCATTAATAATTGGAACATGGAATGTATGAAATATGAATCTAAGAAAACTGTAAGTTGTCAAAAATGAAATGGAATGCATAAAATTCAATATCCCAGGCAATAGTAAGATGAAATGGACTGGTTTTGGCCATTTTAAATCAGACAACCATATGATCTACTATGCCGGGAATGACAAATTGAAGAGGAATGGTGTGGCATTCATTGTTACAAAGATTGTTTGAAGATCTATTCTTAAGTACAATGTTGTCAGGGATGGGATAATATCTATGCACCTACAATGAAGACCAGTTAATACTATCATTATTCAAATCTATGCACCAACCACCAAATCCAAAGATGAGGAAATTGATAATTTCTATCAACTTCCTCAGTCTGAAATTGATGGAACATGCAATCAAGATGTGTTGATTATCACTGGTGACTGGAATGCCAAAATTGGAAACAAAAGAGAGTCACTGGTACTTGGAATATATAATCTTGGTGATAGAAATAATGCTGGAGATCACATGATAGAATTTTGCAACAGCAACGACATTATTGTGAATACGTTTTTTCAACAACATAAATGAAGGCTGTATATATGGACTTTGCCTAATGGAATACACAGAAATAAGATTGACTACATCTGTGGCAAGAGGCTATGGAGAAGTTCAATTTCTTCAGCCAAAACAAGCCCAAAGGCTGATTGTGAAACAGACCATCAACTGGTCATATGCAAGTTGAAGTTGAAGTTGAAGACAATTCAAACAAGTCCATGAGTGCCAAAATATGACCTTAATAATATCCCTCTTAAATTTAGAGATATTTTAAAGAATATATTTGATGCATTGAACACTAGTGACCAAAAACCAGAGGAATTGTTGAATGACATCAAGAACATCATCCATGAAGAAAGCAAGAGGTCACTAAAAAGATAAGAAAGGAAGAAAAGACCAAAAGACCAAAAGATGTCAGAAGAGAATCTAAAACTTGGCCTTAATTGGAAAATAGCTAAAGCAAATGGAAGAAATGACAAGATAAAAGAGCTGAACAGAAGAGCAACTTGAGAAGACAAAGCCAAACACTACAATGAAAAGTGCAAAAACCTGGAGTTAGAAAAACGAAATGGAGGAACACACTCAGGATTTCTTAAACTGAAAGAACTGACAAAAATATTTAAGCCTCGTGTTGCAATATTGAAAGATTCTATGGGAAAAATATTGAATGATGCAGGAAATATCAAAAGAAGATGGAAGGAATACATAGAATCACTGTACCAAAAACAATGGGTCGATGTTCATCCATTTCAGGAGGTGGCATATGATGAAGAACCAATGGTATTGATGGAAGAAATTGAAGCTGCACTGAAGGAGTTGGCAAAAAACAAGCCTCTAGGAATTGACAGAATATCCATTGAGATGTTTCAACAAATGAATGCTGCACTGAAGGTACTCACTCGGCTATGCCAAGAGATTTGGCAGACAGCTACCTGGCCAACAGACTGGAAAAGATCCCACAGAATGTGGAAATTATCAAACAATGTCATTAATATCACACTCAGGTAAAATCTTACTGAAGATAATTCAAAAATGGTTGCAGCAGTATATTGATAGAGAACTTTCAGAAATGCAAGCTGGATTTAGAAGGGGATGTGGAACGAGGGATATCATTGCTGATGTCAGATGGATCTTAGCTAAAAGCAAAGAAATATGTTTACTTATGTTTCATTGACTATACAAAAGCATTTTATTGTGTGGATCATAACAAATTATGAGTGACACTGAGAGAATGAGAATTCCACAATACTTGATTGTACTCATGAGGAACTTGTACATAGATCAGGAGACTGTCATTTCAAACAGAACAAGGGGATACTGCATGGTTTAAAATCACAAAGGAGTACAACAAGGTTGTGTTCTTTCACCATACTTATTCAATTTGTATGCTGAGCAAATAATCAGAGAAGTTGGATTATATGAAGAGGAACATGGCATCAAGATTAGAGAAAGAATCATTAACAACCTGCAATACACAAGTGATGCAACTTTGCTTGCTGAAAGAAAAGGTGACTTGAGGCACTTACTGATGAAGATTAAAGACTATAGTCTGCAGTATGCATCATGCCTCAATATAAAGAAAACAAAAATCCTTGCTACTGGTCCAATAAACAACTTCACAATAAATAGAGAAAAGATTGAAGTTGTCAAGGACTTCATATTACTTGATTCTACAGTCAACAGTAATGGAAGCAGCAGTCAAGACATCAGACAATGTATTGCACTGGGAAAATCTGCTGCAAAGACCTCTTTCAGGTGATGAAGAGCAAAGATGTCTCCTTGAAGACCAAGGTGCACCTAACCCAAGGCATGGTATTTTCAATTGCCCCTTATGCATGTGAGAGCTGGACAGTGAATAAGGAAGACCAAAAAAGAGTTGATGCTTTTGTGTTGTGGTGTTGGAGAAGAATGTTAAGAGTACTGTGGACTGCTAAAAGGACTAATAGATCTGTCCTGGAAGAAGTGCCCCCAGAATGCTCCTTGGAAGTGAGACTCGCCAGATTTCATCTCACCTACTTTGGTCATGTTGTCAGGAAGAACCATTCCCTGGAGAAGGATATCATGCTTGGTAAAGTGAAGGGTCAACGATGAAGGGAAAGGCCCTCAATGAGTTGGGCAGACACAGTGACTGCAAAGATAGGCTCAAGTATAGCAAGGATCATGACGCTGGCACAGAACCAGACAGTGTTTCGTTTGGCTATTCATAGCATCGCTATGAGTGGAGATGACTCGACAGCATCTACCAGTGTCAACATAATTTAGGACCACAAGACCTTGGCCTAGAAAATTTCTTCTTGAAAGCACACCTTATCCAAACATTCCTAAAGCCTATCCACCTCCTATTTTATAAGAATTTACATCTCATAGACATCTTACCTGTAGCCATGGACTATACAGCTATTATCTATAATCATCTAACTTCAGAAAAAGAAAGTTTACAGAAAATAATTTTCCATCACAAATTTCAAAATCCTGACATGAGTAAGTAGAATTATGTTGATTTGAAGGCTTACCAACCTCATCATTTGATTCATGTACTTCAGGTCAGTTATATCTTCTTATATTTTTCTGCATCTTCTCTTCTTTTTTAAAATGATTAATCCCAGTCTTATTTCATTTTCCACATTTTTATCTCTGGCTTTCTCTCTTCAGAAACAGAAGCACAATCTTTATTAATAGAAACCAAGAACCTAAACTTCTCCTAAATTATGCTCTACTATGCCCACTGTAAACAACATATTAACACTTTTCCTATATGTCCAGATTGGTTCTACTTATACACCTTTCTTGGGAGTATTAAGAAGATGTTAAGTGCTGGTGAGTCAATTCCCACTGATAAGGACCCTATGTGACAGAGTAGAACTGCCCCACAGGGTTTTCTAAGCTGTAATCTTTACAAGAGCAGATCCTCAAGTCTTTTCTTCCGTGTATTGGCTGGTGGGTTAGCAGTAGAGTGCTTAACCATTGCACCACCATAGTCACCCATATCCTTGTCTGTGTTCTATGTGATTCACATACTACTAGCATCAAAGTTACCTGTAAGAAGATAAGGAAAGGAGCATGACATTTATAAAAATTCCTACCTGATAGAGAATGGCTCATTTTGGATATATGGTGTGGATACAGTTGCACTATAGGAAAAATAGACCCTTTTGTTCTAGGTCGTCTTCTTATCCAGTTTTTGTGTGTATTTCTCAAACTTGATTTTTGCTCTGCTTACAAACAACCAAATCCAACCCATTGCCATTGAGTTGATTCTGACTCATAGAGACCCCTGCAGGGTTTCCAAGGTTGTAAATCTTCACAGTAGATTGCCTCATCTTCCTCCTGTGGAGCAGCTGGTGGGTTTGAACTGCTGACCTTCTGGTTAGCAGCCAAATGCATCACCCAGTGTGCCACCAGAGATACTTGTTTACATGCAATAAATCTTTCTAAATCACTGGCAGTTTGAAGGGTCCTTCTTAGTATTTTATACAGAATGGAAAAAGCCCTAAAGATGTAGTCGTTAAATGCTTATCTGTAAGCTGAAAGGCCAACAGTTTGAACCCACCAGCCACTCTACAGGACAAAGATGTGACAGTCTGCTTCTGTAAAGATTTACAGCCTTGTAAATCCTATGGGGCAGTTCTACTTTGTCCTATAGTATTGCTATGAATTGAAATGGATTCAACAGCACTGGAATAGGTTTTGGTTTTGTATAGAATGGATATTGAGAAAATAGTTTTCTATGATTTGGCTATAAATATATACAGACCTCTTGGGTGAAGAATTGAGCATAGATGTAACAAGAAGAATAGATAACTCTTTTTAAAACTTGCTTGGATTATATATCAAATTTGATACATATCAAATTTTATAATTTGATTTTCCTCAGTGATAGAGTAAAATAATGAATCACTAAAAAGTTGTAAAAATACACCTTCTAGACTTTAACACTAGACATTATTATAAAGATTAAACAACAATAATAATAATAGTGTTTAGAACACTGCTCAAAAAATATGCTGAAAACAGTGAAGTGTAGCTCATAAAGAATGTAGGATCATGTTGATTATGTGTTTCAAGTAGTAATCAAGAAAGTTTTAACTTAATTTTTGCTTGTATAATTGAAACAGTACATGTTAAACTCATCAAGGTCATAACAGAACTACGTTCTCTATTATACTTGCTACTATTACACAATACTTAATTGAATATGTGCTCAATCTTGATAGGTAGCACTAATCAGAATAATCACCCCCAGAAGATTATAAAAATAAGAATTCATCTTTCTTTTACCAAAGAACAGCTCAACCTCAGACTTTTTGAACCTGTCCAGACTTTACTCAAGTAACTACATCAGCAATGAAGATAATTTTCCTAACCTTTCTCATCACTGTGTCTTGTGGTCCATCAGGTAATATTGCTAATCTGGGAAGGATAGGAAGGGTAACATTTTTCTAAAAACATTTTTTTTTTTGGAAAAACAAAATAAAAATAATGCTAGGAGCCTCCAGAGCACTTAACAGCAACAGGAGACTCCGTAGAAACTCATTATAAGAAAATTCACTAAATATTTTTCATGGAAGAGGAAAAAAGTAAAACTGATAGTTGAGAAGATAATAAGGAAATATTTTCCTCAGATGTAGAATTTAAATTGACCATTTTTTTTTGTTTGATGAGAAAATGACTACTTAGATACTTCCTGTTGTTGTTATGTACCCTCAAGTTGGACCTGACTCATGGTGACTCCTCCTGGGGTTTCTGAGGTGGCATCACTACTGAAGTAGATTGCCCCATCTTCCTCCTGAGGAGTGGCTGGTGGGTTTGAACCACCAGCCTTCTGGTTAGCAGTCAAGTGCCTTAGGCACTACACTACCAGAGCTCCCAAGATGTTCCACACTGCCTCCTTTTTACAACTTATTCACTACACTGATACTGTAACTGTTGTCAAAATTTGGCTCTCTATAACTGGCCCAGTAATTAGTGGTGGTAGGGAGGTGGAAAGTGGGTAAATAAATACTTATGTTGTACCAAATAAGAGGTGAAAAAATCCAAATTCTAATATAGTTGTCTGGACATGATTTCAGAAATAAAATGGTTTACCTCTATGCTTTAAACATATTTTCTTTTTCCTCTATCTTTCCCCTCCTTCCCTTCTACCCCCATTCCTTCCTTCTTCCCTTCCTTCCTTCCTTCCTCCCTCCCTTCCTTCATTTCTTTCTCTCTCTCTCTCTCTCCATCTCTCTCCTTCTCCTTCCCTCGCTCCCTCCCTTCCTACTTTCTTTCCATCCTTCCTCCTTTTTTTCCTACTGTCTTTTCTTCCTATCTATCTGTTTGTCTATCAACTCTATATCTATCTGGATTAATCCTGGATTCATGACCATAGCTACATTTTCCTGTTTTCAGAGAAAAAAAGAAGAGAAATTGAAGAGAGAAAAAGGGAATGTTACCTTGTTCGTGGTATTTGTAAGACTGAATGCAACTCCTGGGAATACATATATAATTACTGTAATGTTGAACCCTGCTGTGTGATACGGGAATACCAAAAACCAGTCACACCTACAGCTTATAGAGATAAAAAGTTTTCTGATTTAACATACAACACTACAGCCATATCATATTATGAATAAAAATAAAGTTTGTACTTTCTATCAATCTCCTGTAAAGGGAATGTCCTCTGGCCTTCTGTATTATGCAACTGCACCATGGCTACTGAGCTCTGAATTTTGGATTACTACAAGACAAATAAAGGAGAAAGAGTGGTAGCCCTTCAATCAAATTTTCAGATTTTTCTCTACCCATATGACAAAGCTCTCCATCTTTAATACTTCTTTTTGCCCCAAGTGTATTTACTGGCCCTGTGCATTAACCTAATCATTTCCATATTATCCTTTAGGCATCAACCATCAATCATTGTTTATGCTATTTTTTCATAGTTTTAGTATAAATGTGCTTGGTTCTTGTATATAAAGTTGTACACAACTTAATTGTATGTCAGGAAAGCATTTATAATTGTTAGGAAATGCAAACAAATAAACTGAAATGGGGTTAATATGTAATATATTAAGTCTTTTCTATGGTGCTTCCTACTACCTCCTTTTCAAAATTTATCCACTATGCTGATATTGTAACTGTTGTCAAAATATGGCTTTCTGTAACTTGCCCAGTAATTAGTTGTGTGTGGGAGTGAAAAGTGGGTAAATAAGTACTTATATTGTACCAAATTAGAGGTGAAAAAATACAAATTCTTTAATACAGGTGTCTGGACATGATTTCAGAAATAAAATGGTCTAATTCTATGCTTTAATAATTCTCCACTACATAAAAATAGTAGCAGTCAGAAATATGCAAAACTTGAGTGGTTCTTTTTGGGAGAAGAGGTCTTGGTTGATATATTATTTTCTTGTAGTATGTGAGTTCATTTTGTTTTATTTACAATGATACACATACAATTTTATCATCAGAAAAAAATAAGCTCTTCATGTATTATAAAAGTCTATTTTTCTGATTATAAGATAATCAGAAAATTTGGAAAAATGTACAATTGCAAAAGAAAACTAAAAAAATTTATTTTTAATTTACCCATTCAGACATGACTAATTATCATAATCAAACTTAAACATTGGTCCCATTCAGAAAATCATAAAATTATTCATAGACTTTTAGTTATTCTTGACTGATTCTAACCTCAAAGATAATAAGCACTGAAAAATCTTAAAATTATAGCCCACTTTTCAGTTAAAAAACAGAAGCATGAACAGCCTAACACTGGGATCCTATGTAGCAATTAAAGTTCATAGACAAAATGGGGGGTGTATCTAGTCATTGTAATTAATATTAATCAGTGATAAAAATAACAGCAAACAACAATGAGTGACAGCTACAAAAGTGACTGTCCTAACCTATCAAGTGTGGAAAACATTATAGCTGTTTTCCATAATTTCATGCTGATATTGCAACACAGGGCATTGAGGCTCTTTCTCAGCTCTTTAAATCTCATGCATCTTTCTCTTGTGCTTACTCTAAGTAGGGGATATTCTGAAAAAAAAAAAAATATATATATATATATATATATATATCTCAGCCTAGCTGAGCCACTAAAGGGGAAACACAAATCTATCATCTTAGTTATAGATAAAAACTTTTTTTTTTAGTAAAAGATTAATCAGCTATACATGAAATAGGTAAAAATTGCAAATATTTGAACAACATAATGTTGAAATCTGAAGTAATGGGAATATATATAACTTTGTAACTGAGAAGTACAGATTAGACATTCTTGTCAGGTTTTCATGGAACATATCTTTTATTTTGATCATAAACTGCATCATAAATCAATTCTCAAAAAATATCAAAACCTCTTCTTTTCCTTCTTGTTCTTGTTCTCATTCTTCCTCTTCTCCTTTTTCTTCTCTTTTTTTTCCGCTTTCCTTTACTTCAGTGTCTAAAAATTTACTCCTAAATCCATATGCATTGGAAAAGGCATGTAGTCCCAGTGACCCAGAAATAGCTGTTAGAGGCCAAGGAGGACATCCACTGGATAGCAGCAGTGGAGGTTTACATAGCAAGGTCAATCAGAACCCAAACAGCATGAAGTAGAATCCAAGAGTGGAATGTAAGATGTCTGAAATACAGCAAGGTGAGGAAGGCATCCATGTAGGAGTATGACCCAGAATGAGATGTCAGAGTTTGTACAAGGTAAAGAGGTAGTCACATGAAGAGGTGGCCTAACAAAGAATACAAGAGCCTAACCATTGGAAGAAGAGCATCAGTACAAGGCAGAACCTTGGCTGACATAGTGAGTCAGAACTTGAGCAGAGTTAGGAAGGTATGTACTATATTATGGCAGTCTGGTGAGAAGGGATAGAGTCCAAAGCCTGTGTGAAACATGGGTGGGGTCATCCTGACACTTGGTATTAAAAAATGATCAGAAATGGACATACACAAGGAAGGTTGACTTGAGGTTTTGGAGACTAAGTGTGAAAGAAAAAAAAATAGTTTATGCAGCAGATAGGGAATCAGAACAGGAAGAAGGGAAAGGATCTATCTGTGGGAAGTTGGGACAAGAGAACAGCCTGGTAGGAAGTGTTAGAGTCTAATCAGTGTGTAGGATATTTGTGTATGGAAGAATTGCCTGGGGTACAGTGTTATAGCCCCAGTGGGGAGAGGAGAACATCCATTTGTGGGAGGGAGTGGTGGCAGTAATGGGAGACTGATTACATACAAGGGAATTGATAAGTAATATTTTAAAGACAATAGGAGACAGATTTCAAAGGGGACTTTGATGTATGGAAAGGGAGAAAACTGAAATGAACCATGTGAAGTTGGATTGGATTTGGAGATACTAATATGAGCTCATAGTTTTCAGTATATAAAGATAGAGACATAAATATAGATGTAAATGTATGATTGTGTATGTGCGTATGCTAATGCCCTTGGCTCTCTCCACGAACAGACTCTGGGAACAATAATACCCCAATAGCAACATGAACAGTTCATACTCAAACCTTTGTATGCAGGTGTTATTTTTCACTTGACAATTCATATTTGGAAACTTCTATTTCTGCCCATGAAAGAGTAATAGTCACAAATGACAGAGTGACAAAATTACTATCAAGTGACAGCCATTATAAATGTGATTATACACTCAAGGATATAAATGAAAGCATGGGCATGATGAGGAGAGAAATTAAAGCTACGAAAAGAATCAGATGGACTAGAGATGACAAATTACTGAATGGAATTAATAACATTGAAAAGAAAAGATCAAAGAAATTGAATAAAAAATAGAAATCCAAAATGAAGCGTAGAGAGGAAGAGATTGGGGGGTGGGGAGGAGGAGCCTCAATGCCTGTGTTGCAATATCAGCATCAAAGAGGAAAATCAATACCAGCATCTCAAAAGGAAAAGAGGGAGGAAGAAAAAAAAAAAGCATATTTAAATAAATAATGGCAGAGAATTTTTCAAATTTGATCAAAACTAAAACTATCAGTAGAAGAAGCACAATAAGTACAAGAAGAACACATATAAATGGATATAATAATCAAATTGCTAAAAACCTGAGATAAAAAAAAATAAAAGTAAACAGAATAATAAAGTAGCATATTATGTTCAGCTAATAAAAGAAAATTAGGAATGATGTTAGAGTGATCCACTTCCGGAATGGTAACGTGAGGAAATCTGCAGACCTGCTCCCTTTTGAAACTGGTGAAAATTGTTAAAAACACACCAACAAATAGACAAACTACAACTATTTAAAACTACAGGAAATGTTCCTAACATCATACAGCAAATGAGGAAAGAACCCTAAGAGTCTGTTGCATGCGAATCATGACCAGTTCTCCTCTTCCTTCCTTCCAGCTCTGCATGATGGCAACTCAACTCTAGGTGGTTACAGTCAAGAACAGAGAGTTCTTTCTCCCTCCACCTCCTAGTTTGAGCACTATGGTAGCTTCATAAGATGGGTAAGATGGCAACATTTCTTATCCTGTCTTCTGCTACCTGTTGCAGAAGCTAAGTTCTGAGAGATGCAAATGAGAGTTTGGGCACTTCCTTCTTCTGCCTAGCCTCCACTCCCATGAATAGGCCAAAAAAACTCATATTCTAAACTCTAAAATTGAAAAAGAAATATTATTTAAAAGATATTGTTAAGAAAAATATAAAGGGAACTCACATACCAGAAGAAAACATTTGTAAGCACACATATGCTATCTAGAATATGTATAAAATTTTTAAAATGAAACATGACAAATAAATTAAAAATCTTTGAATAGAAACTTTACCAAGGAATATATACATTAAGGAAATAAGTAGATGAAAAGACATTAACATCATTAGTCATTGTTGTTGTTGTTATGTGCCCTGGAGTCAGACACGACTCATAGCGACTCCTCCTTGGGTTTCCAAGGCAGTATCACTACAGAAGTAGATTGCCCAACCTTCCTTCTGAGGAGTGGCTGGTGGGTTTGAATCGCCAGCCTTCTGGTTAACAGTCAAGTGCCTTAGGCACTATGCTACCAGAACTCCCCATTAGTCATTAGGGGAATACAAATTAAAACTATAATACCATATCATTATATACCTATGAGAATGGCTAAAATTTATAGACTACTCATACCAAGTATTGACAAAGTTTTGAAGTAAATGGAAATAATATTATGTTGCTGGTGAAATGCAAAATGATAATGATTTTGGAAAAAAAATTTCAGTTTCTTTAAGTTAAATTGTCATTTACCATATAAGCTAGCAACAAATGTACACATAAAGATCTTTACTGAATGTTCATGACTTTATTACTAATATGCAAAAAGTAGAAACAACCCAAATAGCCATCATCTTATGAATGTATAAACAAATTATGTTGTATCTATATAGTGAAATACTACTCAGCAGTAAAAAGGAACAAATACATGCAACACCACACATGAGTCTGGCAAACATACTGAATGAAAGGAGGCAGACACTCAAAAGTACATACTACTTCATTCTATGCATATGAGACTTCAGAAAAGACAAATATATATAATGTATAGTGACATAAAATAAAGCATGGGCTGGGAGTGAGCAAGACAACTGCAAAGGCATACATTGAAACTTTTGGAGTGTGATGGAAATATTCAATATCTTGATG